TTTTTTAATATAAAAAGAAGTAATAGATGCTACAGAAAAAATTGATGTATAGCAAATTATTTATATAATTAGCTTTATTATGAATGGAAAAAACTGGCATTAATAATTTCTAAGAAACAGCATAGGTTTGGCAAGATCTTTGTTAGAGGACCATAGATGCGATTTGATAAACTTCAGTGCTGAAAACAGTCTTTCCACACTGATTTGAGTAAGAGAAAGAGCTGTTACTGTTAGAGCTTCTCAGGATAGATTTTTTATAAGTTCTAAAAGAGGTGTCTTGCAAGAGCAATCATATTTTTCTATGACTTCACAGGTTGTGTAGAAATCGTTGTATTTCTTACATCTAAAGTCTCCAGGTTCTTTATTTTCATTCACCTTGCCTTAGCCTTTTCAATATTATCCAAATATTTCTCAAAATCTAATTCATTACAGATGATAGAGATGAAGAGGATGATAGAGACTCAATTGCAATGTCTGCAGTTTGACTATCCTGATTTGAATACTCCAGTTGTTCTGAGAATAATTTCATTCTTAATGAAAGTTCATAGATGACTTTCTTTGCCTTTTTAATTTGTGCGTCATCTAACAAAATTTGATGTTTTAGATCCACATATATTCAACCCAGCAAGATCTCATTGTCTAGCAAACTAGTTTCTCTGTTCTTCATTGAAGATGGGATTCCTTCTGCAATAAACCCTCCATTTCAGAAAGAACAAACATCATATTTTTCCATTCTCCCTTCCTGTTAATTCTTCAGACTGTAGCTTTTTTATGGCTATATTCAGTGTATAAAGAAGAGTTTGCAACTCTGCAAGATCATTCTACATTCTTTCTGTTAGTGAAACATTAGGGTTATCTGCATCTTCTGGAAAATTTCTTAATTCTAACAACCTCTATATCATCAAATATGTGCTTTCCCATTATGTTGCTTGATCAATAATTGCTCCTTTCCCTGTTCACTTCCTAAGAATGGCCTCAATTTTGGGAGTTCTTGCTGCCACTGCTGCTTACTTAAATTTACCAATGAGATTTGTAACTAAATGAATCAGTTTAATCAATAATGGCAAATATCACATACATCTTCCTCCCTTATATTTAGTTATTAACACGTCAATAAAATAGAAAATAACTATTTATCAATGTATATAGTCTATAAATAAAAATAACAACTCAGTTTGTCATTAATTTTTTTTAATTCACTTTACTTTCATTTCAGATTCAAACTGACCAACAAAAACTGGAGTCAGAGTTGATGTGTTTTTAGCGACTCCCGCTCTTCCTTTTACCCAAATATCTGCCTCACTCCGATTCCGACTCCATGATTCCACCTCCACAGCAATGGTTAAAAGGAATTCTACTGTACATTTATTTATTCAAATTTATTTTATTTCAGTTAATGGAAACTGAACATTGAACTCAAGATATGATCAATTATGGAAATTCAAGTTGTAAAAGCAAAATTAATATACAATTTATTCTTGATTATCTGGGTGTAGATTATCCATGTATGGTGCTGCACATGCATGCACACTCAATGCTATAAGCAAGAGAGCATAAAAAACAAACACATGCAAGTCTTAACATGGAAAACAATTTTTCATAATATAGAAATCAGAGATTTATCCAGTCTTGATGAAGTCGAGGTAATAACTGAAGTTATATGGAAAAAAAAAAAAAAAAAAAGAAAAAGCAAAATTCTTTGAAAATGTTGATCTGGAAAAATCCAAGAATAGTTTGATGGTGATTAGACTAAGCCAGACTTTCAGTGCTTGAGTGATGCAGATATTGTTTCAAAAGTCACAAGAACAGAATAGGCAGAGAACAATACTGAAAATACAAGTGAAGAAGATACTGACAGTTAAATTAGTCCTAAGACATTAACTTAAGTTAAAACTCTACTGTATGTCATCAACTAAAGGGGATTCCAATAAAATGATAAAATAGCACTTTGAAAAATATGAAGTAAAATTCGACAAATATTTAAATGTTCCCGAAAACAAAGAAAAATTACTGATTTCTTTTTAAACAAATAAACACATTATGCATGAAATTTGATAATTTGGATTATCCATGTTTTTCAATATCCCTGACCTGCTTGCCCAGTATCAGGTTATATAATCTAGTATGCATTTCTATATATATTATCACAAAATTTTTTGGGTAGTCTATATTTTAGGGTACCCCTTGGATTATTGGCAAGTTGTTGTTTCATTTATGGTAACCTGAGTATTTTATGCTGTATGTTTTGGAAACCCTATCATGATGTGATTGGTTGGACCCTATTACAGTACTAAGTCCGTAAACCAGACGTCCATTATCCGGAATAATCTATAATCCGGATCTCAAAGGCCACAAACTTTATTTTTGTATGCTTTTTGCATGTGGGTAAATGATGTGCGTGCATGCATTATACATGCGCGTAATGTATGCTCTACGCATGCGCGCGTTGAAAGAAATGTTTAATAATAAAATAAACAAATAAATATTAAGCTTTTTTTTTTTTGTAAAATTTGAATACCCTTTAAATCATAATTGCTTACTTCATAAATTACGGTTTCATATTTTTAATTCTATAATTTCTGCATGTCATCTTACCAGATTTAAATTGATGATCTATAATCCGGAAAAACCCCTAATCTGGATTTGCCGAAATCCTGACAAGTCCGGATTACGAACTTTGTACTGTATTATATGATTGGTTGTAATGCAAGACTGCACTGATTTTAATCATTCAGAAAATATTTCTCAGGGCTTACTTCTGCGTTGAATGTCAGTTAGGAAGTACATAGCTTATTTTGTGCTTTACACTGTAAATAGCTGCTAATGGTAAGACTTACCTGAAGTTTCTGTACGATTTGGAACGAATGGGGGAAAAAGCACTGAGGAAGAGGAAGTTTTTTTTCTTTTTTTTTTTTTTAAGTGATTGAGGACAGAAAAAAGAAACTTTGTTGGATGTAATTCAATGGAATATCTTACATGGAACAATTATTATATCCGACTGCTGGAATTCGTACAATTTTCTTTCTGATAATGGCTTTATTCACCTCTCAGTAAATCACTCAGTGGCAATTAAGGATGCAGAAACCAGAGCTTATATCAACACTATCGAAGGTATGAGGGGTGTAATAGAAAAGGGATTTTCAAAAGAAATGCTCTTTTCAGTCCAGAACTAATGAGGATATTTTTTATTCTTTTGTGAATTATGTGTCGACAGCAATATACAGATTCTAGTTTAGATAATTTTAAACAGTTTTTGAATGCTGTTAAGGAATTCTATGTGCCATACACCAGAGATACAGAAATTTCTAAGTAAGGTAAGTCAATATTTCATTTTCATACTTTGCAGATTAGATAACATGTAATTGCATTTTTACGATATTTCCTTGTTTTATTTTAATTTAAAATGCAGTTTATTGAGATTATAATTTTTTATGCTTTAATTATGTTTTGGGCACCATTTTGCATGGAAGGGCATTGCACATAAATAGGAATGGTGCCAAAATATCACCAATTTTTGCCAAGAGAAACCCTGAAATATATTTTTCGCATTTTTTTTATTTAAAACCAAAATTATTCCAAGTATTTTCATACAATATGCTGATGAAAATTAATCAGCACAGACAAAAAAGTCAGCAATTTAGAACAAATTTCACAGACCCAAAAGAAGTAAAATTCAAAATAGCTTATAAATATGTAAAATACGTATAGAGGAAATGTGAAATATTAAAACCTTAAAAATTACAAAAACCAAAAAAAAAAAAAAAAATACAGAAGAAGAATGCAATCAAATCTGATATAACATTATCAAGAGGAGGATACATAAGGCTCAACTGCACTCCCCTTCCGTTTGAAAACCATTACATTCCTGTATTCCAAAATTAGCTGATGAACAATTGCAAAGTATTTAATTATAAAAGTTCAGCTGAAAATTTTAGAGTCCTTCCTGATGCGGCGTAAGTAAAAATCTAAGTTCAATAAAGCAATTGAAATTACTTGACTCTGCTTGGCGTGTTTGGCAGTGAAACTGCAGACCCTTTGACCAAAGAGGAATCCTCTGATATAGTCATTTCAAGTCAATTTTTAACCTTCCCTGAGATCTACTCCAAGACAGAAATCTAAAATCAGCAGCTATGGAAAATCCCTCTGGTTTGCCCTTGGTATAATAGGCATGCTCCAGATCCCTTGCCATCAAGACTTATAGAGTCATTCAGTCCACCATTAGCAGGCTCACAAGTGGACACATCAGGTGTCTCTCATTTGAACAGGAACAACAGATCTATCTGAACCAACTGAAACTCTGTGCAGGCCTCTCCTGATCACATATTGAATAGCGTAGGTCTTAAAAGAAATTACCTTTTTTCAGTCCTCTTCTTGTTTACTATTTTTTGAAGTCTGATGTATCCTCCTCCTGATAACATTAAATTAGATTTGATTGAATTCTATTTTTGTACTTTTTCTGAGTTTTGTAATTTTTAAGGTTTTAGTATTTTACATTACTTTAATTCTTATTTTACATATTTATAGAGTATTTTGAAATTTAATGGTATTGAATTTCACTTCTTTTGGGTCTTTGCAAAGCTGATTCTAAATTCTTACCTTTTGCGTATGTATTTATATATATATATATAATTAGAGAAAGCTTCTAAAAATCTTACAAGTTTGTATGGAATTATTTACCTTTGGTCCAAAGTCACCATGAGATACTGGGCCTTGTAGATGATCATTTACAGTTAATAAAGGTTTTATATCATCCCATTTTACTTCTTCGTTCCCAGATGCAACTGATTCACTACATACACAGAAGAGAGAGATGAAACAATGAACAAAATTTTATTCTTTTTATCATATAGTCAAATATAAAAATTTTAAAATGAAAAGTCATTTAAAATTTGATAATTATATAACCTTAGGTTCATTAAAATACCCATAATTACTGAAAATAGAATGGTTAAAATACTAGAGTAAAAATGTGCCAGCAATAATCTATATTAAATTTAGCTACAAAAATAATTTCTGTATGGAATTTTTTGAAAGTTCACCACATTAATAGCAAACTGTATTCTTTTGATTCTGAAGTGCACCCTATTATTCCAGTTTTATCAATAAAAGAAAAACTTCCATTCTAAGAAAAAAAATATAAGCTATAAATTACAGCTAACAAATATTATTTTAATAAACAGCTTTCAGTTGTTAACAAAAGTAGGCATAGTTGAATTAGTAACTAAAAAAAAAAATTACTTTGGAATATTTAGCATTTTAGAGAAATCTGTGATTCTAATATGTCATCAATTCCAAGATGTAGCCCATTTTAAGTGGCAAATATACAAAAATAAAGGTACATTCTAAAACCAGAGGAATATGATAATTTCAGATCATTTAAACTTATTTTTTAGACCAGTTAAAAAAGAATATTAATTTTTTTTATTTAAAAAGGTAGTTTATAAAGCAGTCATGCATTTTAGTAATCAATCATTCATTAACAGAAACACAAATTTTGAAAAAATAAATAAAAAATGTAAAAAATTTCTTTGCAATAAACTGCATTTTAAAATTTTTCTCATATTATATACAACACCTGGTGCTCACTAAAATTATTTCCATACCAAACATACTTGAGTTTATTAAGTGGCTAAGTTTAATAGATGGCGATATTTGTACTGCAAACTGTGGTATTCCTTTTAAAAATTAAAAATATTAATTCTAAATTAAATAAAATATACTGCTAAAATTAAAATATTTATGCTATTTTGAAATTTATTTTTTAATTTTTTTCAAATATTCTTCTTGGTAAAGTTTTATCCTTCACAAACAATTGTTCTAACTGTGTTTGTTTCGAATTGTTTATCAGCAGTTTTTTTTAATTGCATTCTTACTATCATAAAACTGCAGGGAGGTTTTTTTTTTTTTTTCCCCACCAGCAATTTTGAGTTCAAGAGTTTTTCTTAGAATTTGCAGTGCTTTTCCAGATTCGATTGATGTTGACACACATTCTAAAAATGAATTTTCATGACTTCCGTCATCGATATCTGAAACAGCTACAGCTTGCAGTTCCTCTGAGGATCCTTCTGCATCAGTATTTCTTAAACTGTCCTCCACGGAACCCAGTTCTGTGTAGGCCACTTAAGGATTCCACGAAACTTATATGCAATATTTATAACATTTAAGAAAGTAACATCAAAAAAGGAAAATAAAATTTTTTGAAACAATAGAATAAGACCTAACCCTTGCCTCCACTTACCACGTCTGACATTAAAAGTTGTGACAGCTCCATCGGGACATTTTTTGGCCTTTTACAGTAGCAGTGCTGGGGATAAACTCAGATTCCCAGTATCAGTGATTTCCCAGCTCATTTCTTTACTGATACATGGGAAATTCCATATATATATATGAATATGACACTATGCAGCAAATACCCCCGCGTAAACAAATACCCACGTCTCGACTTATGTCTTATAAAATATAAATTGTTTTTTTTTCTCCAAGTTTTTTCTTATTGACAAACTTTAATGGTTCTGATAATGTCACATCACACATACTTTTCTACAAAATTAGAGGTAAAAAACACATCTTACGGCTATAATGTAAATAAGGAAATCCAACCAGGATAACAAACATGCATTTATTTTTTTATGATGATGCACAGATACAAGAATAATTAAAATTGTGGCTATATTTTATACTGCACACCTTTTAACAGAAATACTATTACCCTACCATATGATCTGCACCAGACATTAAAGTCTGCTTGGAGAATCTCAGTTGTTATACTCAGCCATTCAAGTTTTTAAACCTAGAAAGTGTATTAATAATTTGTTTGTGTTTCATATTCTGCTGTTAATAGTATTATCAATGTAAGTAACCATTTAAAGTTTATTTGGCCTTATAAGATAGATGTCCCTGTATATACGAGTATATATATTTTTTTTTTCAATATTTTGATGCATGATAAAATGATGGCTTAATAGAGACACTTTGAAGTATTCTACTTCAGAACTTGACTATTCTGCTGAAGACTCTACAACTAGAAAATAACTAAATATAATAATTTAAATTATAATCTAATAAATACAAAGTAGCAAAACAATCTCATGAAAAAATAAAAGTGGCCATGCTACTCAGAGGATTAGAGGCTACAGAATTAATTTCATTATGCGATATCTATATTAATAACATCATATTTATATTTGTGTAATCATCATACACAAATGCAAATATCTTATAAAACAGAACACTCAATCCTAATGCAAATGAAAATTGGGTACAGTTTTGAGGACCATAAAAAAAATTGCATCACAAATGTACGCGCGAAAGCACCAAATCTAGTAAATTCGCCCATTTAACAGCGCGCCAAATCTACCATAAGCACAGATTTTCAGATTGTGTAAGTTTATATAGTTCTATATTTCTTAAGACGCCATTGAAATACTAGCTTAATTTTTAAATCCTTTTTTTAATTTAAAATCCTTTTTTGATATCCTATGGATTTAACAATTTGGGAACTGCCCATACAAAAGTCTGCAATCAATTTTGGGTAAGGCATGAATCCCCCACTGCTTGACCGTTTTTTAGAATTCACATACTCGATATCCATGTAGACATCGACCTATTTTCACTTAAAAAACTCAGAATTGCGGAAAATGGCACTGCACACACCCTTGACTTTATCTATGTACACAAACCTTTTTCACTTTAAAGTAAAAAAATTGATTAAAATCCAATTGTTTTACCCTTGTAAAAGTGGGCAACAATATAGGCGATTCTGCACTTTCCCGAGAAATTTTTTCAAGGCATCATTCATTATAGAAAATTATGTTTGAAACAACCAACGAGTTGAAATTATGCTTTAATGATAACTCGGTAGCGAAACAGCGATGGCAGGCATCCAGTTATGTTTAGCAATTGTTATATAAATTATAATAATGATCTGAAATAGTTATCTATTATTATGCTTCCATTCAGTCATGTTTAGCCTTTTTTATATAAATTATAATAATAAAAAAGTATTATATGAAATCAACCTTTCATCTAAATTAAAACATCAATCTTAGATAGTTATTTACTATTATACTTCCTTTCTCACATTAGGGTTGCTGCAATTATTTTTGGCAGCACTGGCATCAACAACAGTTTGGCGATTTTTTACGGCCCTCAAAACTGAATAGTAGTACCGAAAAGGGTTTATCAGTGCCTAGAATACTGCTTATAATTGTGCAATTTTAGATGAATATTAAAAATGCAGAGAAGGCATTTCAAGGACTTCACTCCATAATAGATAAATAATTATGTATTACCACAACCATTCCGGTTCAATAATTTTTCACCAAAAAATTATGATTCATAATGCAAAAAACTGTTTATTATATAAATCCCTATTGTTGTATTTTATCTAAAATTATTTGCTATTATCAAAGCTTATCTGAAAACTGCCCATATTATATATTTTAACTAGCCAATAAACTCACAAGTGGTTTCTGGGTCCCTCCCCCCTTTTTTTTCTGACGCAATTTTGCAGTGATAGCTTTAAATATTTCAAAACAATTATTTTCTTCATGAATTTTGCTGGAAAGTACTGTATTTTTTCAAAAAACTTTCTCATTTCTTTCTGTGCAAGCAAATTCCACAAACACATATTTTAAAACTGAGTTTAAGACAGAATATCAAAATATGCAATAGACAAAAAGAACATATATAGAAATTGAAGCATTGCTTATTAAAACTGAAGTACTGTTATGCATGGTTAACAGAACTTGATCACCTCTTCTTCTAATATGGTAGTGCTGATACATACATAATTACCACTAGTTTATTTGTCATTTGGGTAATTTAAAAATAACTATTAGAAATAAAGTACAAAAATCAGTTTTGCTCATTAAATACTAAACATAATAAAAAATGTTTAGTATTTAATGAACAAAACTGGAGTCAAAGATTACCTTGTAAATGCATTGCCAAGATCTTCTACAGCTTTCTTAATAGCTGGATCTCTCAAAGCCTTTTTAACAAGTCGCTTGGATTTTCGTTCCTCTACCCTCCGAGATCTTAATGCTGAAAAAGTTCTGATATCCGTGAACTTATTTTTAAGTTCATCAAATTTCTACAAAAATTTAAGAGAACATATTATCAATTAATTAAAACTGCATTTGAAACATCTGAATACGAAATTTCATTTTACGAAACAATTAACATTGGAAAATCGAAAATAACCCATTTAGAGTTTTTTAACGAAATTTACCTTACACTGATTCGTTAAATCAGGTTCATTTGGTTTATCTTTTTGAGTATTCTGACTATGTGCAGTTTGCACGTTACTTATATTTACTTTTTGATCATTATTATTTTTTCTTTTTTTCACTGACCAAGCGTATATGTCATCCTCATCCGATTCAGAAGAACTTCTATTATCATATGCCAATATCATAGCAAACTGACAAATAAAAGTAAGAAATATATGACTATTTAGTTCAAAATATTCACTCGATTGAAAATAAACTTTCAAAAACAATTGAACACGGAAAAAAAAACAAAAACAAAATATAACTTTTTAAGAGTTGAGAGAAAGCTCTGCTGTTCACTGATGTTTGCAGAAGCACAGTTCGTAGATTATTAATGCATCATATGTAAAAAATATTATAATATTCATTATAATATAAGATTTCAATGCATTTAATATATTATCATTTACTCTAAGATTTCTAGTAAAAAGTAAGTCCTTTTTTAAAATATTAGAAAAAAGTATATTATTGTTAGAAAAATGATTTGATAGTCGAATACAAAAGAAAGATAACTGACTGAAAAATTTCATTTATGGCACAATTAATTTTCTTTCAAAATAACTTCTCGGGTCAAAATCATCATATGCGAGTTATCGCTGATGTGACTTCAACTATAACTTTATTAAAAGTTAGCAGCGAATTTGCTGTTTACGGTTTGAAATATGTTTTTTATTGGTAAATATTGTTTCATAAAGCATAATGGAAAAAATGTATGGAGTATGAAGTAAAAATAAAGTAAAGAATATGCAGCTATCATCAGGACGTCTTATTAGATATTGTGGCTTGAGTATTGTCTTCGGTTGTATTTTTGCTGGAACGTTTATGTGGTATTTTTGTACAAACACAACTTGTTCCTTAAGTACATTTCCTTTTTTGTATTCTAAGGATTCGCTTCTTAAACCTCACTGGCATAAGCTGAAAGCGAATCGCCAAATTTTATCTAACTGGTCTTCGGAAAAAATTTTATCCAAAGATGAAAAGAACAGTCTCGATCATAACAAAATCGTTGTCGCTAAATCAGATTTTAATATAAAGGGCTCTGATGTTATAGTGTTTTTACATATCCAGAACACCGGAGGTAGTGTGTTTGCTCGTCATATGGTGGAAGATTTGACGTTGGAAAGGCCATGCCGCTGTAAAAAAAATCGCCGTATATGCCGGTGTTATAGACCTAACAATTATGGTAGTACGTGGTTTTTCAGTCGTTATACAACAGGTTGGAAATGCGGAGTTCATCCTGACTGGTCTGAATTAGCAAACTGTGTGGATCGTGTAATGGATGAAGATGAAGGAAAGCCTGTAAAGAGAAGGTATAAAATAAATTAAAATCATTAACAGTCTTATATAAACTATTATTTTATGATTGATTTAATAACAGAGTTTGTGATCTAAAAACCTGAAATATATTTACAGAACATGAAAGAATTTGATAAGCCTTCCAGTTAATGCAAAATTTGGTGACATTAATAACGTTTTACCTGTAAATGTCAGCTGCTAAATGGGAATTTGGCTAATCTTTGGAATATGATAACATGTAGTTTGGCGACATTTTGGTAATGCGATAAAGGTTACTAGCTAGGACGGGTTTTCTTCCGGAGAGGATCTGTTGGCGGCGAAGCGTATTTACTCGCCAAGCTCGTCAACGGCTAATCAGCCATGAGTTTAGCGGTGTACAGTTACGTTACAAGATATTTAAAAAGGTTAACCGTAAACTGAAAATCGTTAATAGCAATGAAAGGACTGGATATTATGTTCCCATAGATCCCCTAACTCCATATTCCCTCTGGCTTGCAGTATGCCATTTCCTGTTTGTAATGAAAAACAGCCTGTTAACGAATTTCCGCGAAATACGTTGATGATCGTAATTGACTGTTCATTAGCTATTTGGTGATACATACATGTCTTCTCCATTTAAAACAGAACCAGATCATATTTGCAGATCCACAGCAAATAATGAGTCTTTCATGGCAAAGTTATCAATTTGTTGAAAAATAACTTAGTGAAAATTCATATCTTTCTTTAAATATGCTTTAAGAATATAAAATTAGAAAATATTCCGTTTTTTAACAGTGCAGTGCAGTTTCTTGGAAATTGTCAAAACACAAGAAAAACAAAAGGCACTTTTACTACTTGTACCTTCATTACATAATTTCAAAATGCTTTCCAAAGTATGAGTGAAAATAAATTCTCATCACATAAATTAAATAACAATGTTTTCATTGAAATATAAACTATTGCAACTGTTTGACTAGGTAAAAAATAAAGTTTGTATAGGAATAAATTTATATTCTGCTCTGACTTACTTATGCATGCATAAATAAGTGTGTGCTTATGTGTGCATGTGTCATAAAATAAAAAAACTAACATATCCACTATTTTTATTAACAATCATGCTAACCTCAGAAACAGTAAGGGCAGAATTTAACTTTTTTGCATGTAACTCTAACAAGCATACTATGATTCATTACTTTCCAACTGATGTTCTGTGACTGAATTCTGGTAGTTTGATTTAGGTCCTAATCTAAAAAAAAAAGACAGCCTAATTGCATGGGTGTTTTCACGGTGCTTTCAATATGTTACAGGAATGCAAAGCCAAAAATCCCTTATAAAGTTCTCCTCAAAGGCACACCTTCTCTTACGCAGATATTTTTTGCATGCTTTGACATAATTAAAATACACCAAACCAAACGGATACATGCCACCAGCAATTTTAAACCTCAAAATATTCCTTAACTAACCCTCAACCCTAACCTGATTTCGGTTATTGTTATTGGAGAGCTATGCTGAGTGATCAATGAATAAGAAAAAAATTTCATTGAAAAATCATGTGTAGGAATAGTTTTGTATAAATTATCATGTAAGTGTAGTATATTGCATATATTTATTATATGATTACTTAATTTTTTTGTTATTAATTATTATTTTTTTTTCTTATTACGTGCTCCGCCCTTAGGCACTCCACGGAAAGGGAGGAATGCCCCGTAGAGGTCTTTTTAAGGGAAACTGGCTCGTATCCATGTTACACATGGGGAAAATCACGAAAACGCGCATGCAGCCAGCCCGTTCGCCGGGACTTGAACCCAGGATCGAACTACCAGTTGTTCAGCAGCTTTTACCGCTCGGCCGCTGGTGGGCTCATTAATTATTATTAATAATATATTTAGGCACAGTATTTCTTTTAAATTCATCTTCTGATTTTAAATCTATTTTGAATTTTCAAATCATAATTTTATCAAATAAGTTACTGAAAATGTAGTCACAATCTCACTCTATCAAATCCGAAAGTTGAGTTCAAGGATGGACAAACTATGGCCAGTGAACAGCTACCTGTTTAAAGCTTCTATATAGATATATATTATTCTATTCAGCCAAATTATCAAATATATTTAGGATTTTACTATGCAATACATAATGTATATTGTAAATATATATTCATTTTTGTTTTGGCTATACAATGTATACTGTATTTGTATAAATAAAACGTAAAGGAATATCACGTGATTTGTGCATAACATGAGTTCACATAGATATCTGTTATCTCACTTCATCGACATGTATACTGTGCTCATCGACTTTGTTACATCATGAACACAGATAAGTATAACAAGATTTAGATCTCCCACTGAAAATTCCCCAGAAAGCGAGAATTACTGATAATGTAACGAAATGAAGAAAGGTAATCTTTTTTTTTTTTTTTTTTTGAATGTGGAAATTTTAACTATTTTCAAGTGGTCTGTTTAAATTTCCATTGAACATTAAACCTGTGCTTGATGTAACCATGAGGCTTGGGAATAGTATTCAATCTTGTTGATGTACCCACAGGGAATTACGAGATTTACTTAAGCCCTTAAAATCTGAATACTTGCATGTGCTGTATTACACAAAACAAAAGTAAGATGGCTTAGTGCAAGATGTGTTTTCGAGAAAGTTTGGCAACTGATTAACGAAATTGTGCCATTCTTCAATGAGAAACATTGTTCTGTAAAGTGTGAAATTTTAAAATATATAGCATCAATTAATTTAGAAAGCAATCACAAAAAATCAGAGTCATATTTGCAAATTTTCACAGGACTAGTAAGTGATTAGTCACAGGATTTAATTTATATTGATACAGCATGGTTTTCAACTTAGCATTTTTCACATTTCTTTGTCATATGAACAATTTAAATGTCAAAATGCAATAGTTATGAAGATAGCTAGCCTGAAAAAGAAACCTGCATTTTGAGTCTGATTTTGAGTTTAAACACAGATTTCAATGCAATTCAAATGTAACTAGAAATTTTCAGCATGCCTTGCAATATAAACTATGAAGCCGTGAGACCACATTTGCAACTTGAAGTAATTTAGTTACAGTCTAACAATCACTTGAAGCAGTTGTTTCTCAGTGTTCCAAAATTACAGTTGTTCAAATCATTATATAACTACATATACATGGGAATAACAAAAAGTAGTAAAATTTATCACAGATCTGCACACGTTGGTTGACTCTTTTCTTTTGACGATATTCTTAGCATATGCTAAGAACATGATGCTGTTACAAAATGCTGGTTATCTCCAAAATAGATAACTTATTTATTTTGATAATTTCAAAATATTTTTCTATTCAACTACATAGAGATAATCAAATGAAGAAAATTCCCAAAGCCTGTGGAAACTATCCAACATTACAAAAAAAATCATAAAACAACAGTCTCCTATTCAACTTATATAAACAAAGTAATTGTTCAACTTTACACAATCCTAAACAAGTCTTTTAACTGAAGACTAACTTTATATCTCTGGTCAGTGCAAAGTTTTGTAAATGCGTATATTACAGATATTTTCAGTAACACATTAAAAACACTTAAAAATAAATAGCAATGTCTCCGTAAAATAATGAATGCCAAAGTGAAAACTAGATGTCATGCCATAGTCATTTGAAATAAATTGTATTGACACACATTTCACTTTGGAAAGAAGAAAGTCCATCTCTAAAAAGTTGTTTGGAAACTTATAAGAAATAATCAGCAAATTTACCTTAAAATGGACGTAAATCAATGCTGTATACATTACTGCATTTTAGAATATCCAAAATGAGAATGAAAAAAAGCAATATATTCATTGATTTTTAGGAAATAGCATATGCTGTTGACAAATTCATATGTAAACTAGGATAATTCTAGTTCCAGGATATCGCTGAAATTATTTCTCCTTAAAACAGATGTGGGAAAAAACCAGCACTTGCAGCATTCTAGACCTTTCATCAGGCCTGATGAAATTAAATGCAGCAACATCATTTTCTTCTGAATGATGCATTCAGGTGTATGAGAAAGGCATTTAGTGCATTTAATTACGGCAAAGCACACTAGGGCTATCTGCCTGAGGGGAGGGATGCCTTTCGTGGAGGACTTTCTAAGGGAAACTGGCTCTTATGCACTTTACACATGGGGAAAACCATGAAAACACCCATGCAGCCAACCCGTTGGCGGGATTCGAACCTCGGACCGAACTACCAGTGTTCAGCAACTTTACCGCTAGGCCGCTGGTGGGCATATGAGAAAGGCAGATGAAACACTTCTCAGAATGTTGTATCATAAATGAGTCGTAAAGCTTATATTATGCCAAGCAGTAATAGCTTTAGGGGCCATGACAGTGTGATGGCCCAACATACTGAGTACTGAAGATTCAAACTAGGGTCAAACTACCAGTATCCAGCAACTGTATTGCTGAACTTTTTGTGAACTTGAACAAAAGTATGAATATCTTGTTAGTGAAACCCATAACGTAAGAAAAACGGCACACTTGATAAAATGTTCAAGATTAATGGTCGATTTTGTTATGAATCCCATGGTTCTGACATGTTTTAAATATACTCCTTCCACACGGATAGAAGCTGAATGATCATTGTCCTGCTTACTACAGATATAACCTTTCAATGTATAATCTGAAGGAAAGTTTAGGTTATTCGAATATGGCAAAGCATACCAGCTGTTGACCTGAAGAAGGATGCCTTTATGAACATTCTAAGGGAAACTGGCTTGTATTTGCATTACATATGAGGAAAACTAGAAAAATCAACCATGCAGCCAGCCCTTTAACCATGATATGAACACAGATCAAACTACCAGTATTCAATGGTCTTAAGCACTAGTAGGAAAAATCTAAAAAAAAAATGCTTGCAATATCATGCAATCAGAAATTCACTAAATGTTGCACAGCAGGATTACTTTTTCAAGTGTCGAGGATGAGAATACTTAATTTTGTTTTGTTTATATAGGTATTTGGTCATGGTATTATTCATTACATATATTCTCTGTTGTTCATACAGATA